AAACACCATTCACCAGGTATAGGAAGAAGATAACGTGTTAATGAACTCACATCCTAATCAATTACTACTTATTTTTTAAAAAAGCAAAACAATGCCAGAGTTTGCATTATCATTTCCTCTTTTCTTGGCATAGATTTACCTTCAGTCCTAGGTCATAGTATAATTTTTTCTGAGGGTCACGATATGGGCAGATATCTGACACATAGCCTAAGAAACTGCTCACTATCAGTTTGGCATTTCATCGAAGTGAGGATGCAACATGCTTAACACAGAATCCCTGCCCTCAGGTAGTGTTAGGATCAATGTGCCATCCCATCAGAGAAGAATTGTAGTTTTTTCACTTTAATTACAATCGCATGAAAACCCCAGAAATTGGTTTTAACCTTTGCAATAATTCAGATACAATACAGAGCCAGGTATAAATTTCTCCTGAAAAATTAATATTTGCTAAAAGGAAAATGGGCCGTGGGTCATGTTCGTTTCACAACGCTAGGAAGAAAAAAGAAAATGCAAGCCACTTCCGGTCCCAGGCAGCAATCTGTTACAGTATCAAATTTAACTTCCAATTTGATTGCATCTCTGCAGAAAGGTTTAGCACCAAAGCGTGGCTTAGTCACAGAGATGCACTAAGTCTCAAAACACATGCAGAGCTTCGTAACGTTATTGCCTTTGTAATAATTTGGGTATGTAGAGACGGCATACTGATTTGACACAGGTAAGGAAAAGTGCCCACCCCCAGAAACACTGCTGGGTTTTCAATCACCCAGGAAACAGCAGAAACCCTGGATGGGATCTGGTCAAACTCTGTCATTCTAGTGGATCTTCTATGTGTTTTCATTCTACTCATTTTAAATGTCGTTCTGTTGCTTTTCATGAGTGCATTCCTTCCTGTGCTTATTTTTCCTTCCCCTCTCACTTTCTTTTCTTCCTACTTAATGTTTCAAAGCCCACCCTACAGGAGAGTAAAGTGTTGGCTTGTTCTAAATAACCTAGGAACGAAATTGGTGGCTGTGATCAAACTTGGAATCAATAAGCCTGTGAACACCACCCCTGGTTAGCCATTTCTCTGTCACTCACAAAAGACTTGGAAACAGGCGTTTGCTGCTCTTTACCAGCCATGCAGACCGGGAAGGCTTTGCGAATGGCTTTTCACAATAAGAGATTTTCCTAAAACACACGGATTATGTTTTAGACGCTGACGGCGTTGTTCATGCATTTGTTTTCTTGGCTGCCTCCTCCCCTCTCTGTACCCTGCTTGCTGGTTCCCGGCCTTAAAAGCCATTGGGAGGATGATTGTAGGTGCTGATTGCACAAGACACAAGGAATGGATGAGTGAGGCCCTGAATTCACTTCCTTTGAAATGACTGACGCTAAGGGTGGAAGGGGGCCGCCCGGATTAGAGAGATAATTGTCACACTCCTCATCATTTTTTGGAAGGTAAATTCAAGGAGATGGCTTCATACAATTGGCTCTATGATAGAATTAGTCTCATTTTATGTATTTGATGAGTTTGTAGTCCCATCACTCTTTTCTTTGTCTTTTGGCAAAATAAAATGTTCACATCCTTTCTTTATGCCTCTCTGATCCTAACCTGAGAGTTATTAACAGTTTGATGTGTATCTCTATACAATTTTTGTCTACACTTTTAAATATATGGGTATGTATATGGATAAGATATATATATTCACACTTTTTTTTCTAGATAATAGATCAGGCCATATAAAGCTATCCTTTCTAATACAGTAATCACTGCTCAATAAGGGTAATTTAAGTTTATATTAATTAAAATGAAATGAAAAACTCAGTCTCACTAACCATATTTCAAGTGCTCAGTGGTCATGCTATTGGAGAACACAGAAATAGGCTATTTCCATCACTGCACAAAATCCTATTGGACAGTAGCTGCTCTAGAGTGTTCCTAATGATCAATAAATTGGAATTGTGTGCTTCCCTCTGAAAAATAATTCTTCAAATAATCCTACACTGATATCGAGAGGTAAGACCAATGGCTATCAAAATTCACCTTCAAGGGCAGAAACAGATTTTGGTTGTATCTGCTTACTTTGGTTCAGGAACCTATTATTTGAGGTCGTAGGTGTATGGGTGGCGATCACTACTGCAGAATGTGATTTGTTATGCCTGAGTAATTAATTCTACATGGTTTGAAACGTCCAGCCCTAATGACCACATTCAGTTACTTTCCCAGAAGGACATTTCTCAGTTAAGAAGGGGTACAAGTGATGTGTCCAATATTAATCCCTTAAAAGTTTCTTCTCAAATTTAGGCCAAGGGGAGGGGGAAAAAAAAAGGTCAATCTCAGTGATAGAGATGCTGGAAATCTTTCACCTCTCTTTCCAAGCTGCCGTTCTTTGTTCTGATATCGTGATATTTTTGTGGAACGCCCAATACTGGGTGGCTTAAGGCTAAGAAATTAACAAGGAATCAGAAAGCTAAATGAGCATCTACAGGTAGAAAAAGCAAAGTGTGATTATCTGGTCTCTGAGGAGCTAATTACAGGCTCGGTCGAAACTGGGGGGATCGTGGGAGGACGTGCACACACACTCACGCACGCGGGCACACGTGGGCACACACACTCGTGCATGCACAAAGCTGTTGGTCTGCGCCCACCTCCAACGAAGCCGAGAGCTGCACTGCTGCATAAATAAATCATCCGGACGGCTCGCTGTTTGAGAAAAATCGATCGTTCTCTGACCTGGGGTCAGGCACTGGATATCCAGAGCCTGGCCTGACCCGCCGTTGTATATAAAATATGATGTTAAAGAAAGCTTCCCACCAGCCCGCCTCTACCTGTGAGGCTCCCCATCCATCCATCATTCGTTCCGCTTTGCCCACACCAGCGCCACCCACAGGCTGCCAGCGTGGGAAGTCGAGAGCGTGGAAAGGAAGTCTGGTCCTCATGAAACTGGAAGCCCATGCCCCAGACATCGTGCAGCCCCTCAGTGTTGCTAGGGTGTACTTAGCAGGAAGCGACTGACCTGTTCTAATAGCGGAAGGGGCTCCTTCAGTTTAAATTAGCTTGATGCTCCTATATGGACAGTATATGTGCTGCTCAGCGTGGGGTTAACCTCTTCTAGCACTTTCAAAGAACACCAAGGATCGAAGGGAGAAGTGACAGTGAGGTGTGTCAATGCTGTCACATTAGGCTGGGGAATTCTTGGTTGGAGGATGGGGGGGGTGTCATCCTGTGCATTGTGGGACGTTTAGTGGCATCCCTGGCCTCGACCCCGTACATGCCAGTTGTACCACCTCCCCAAGTTGTGACAACCAAAATGTGGTCACAATGTCTCCAGACATTGCCAAATCTCGGGGGGGTGGGGGTGGCAAAACTGTTCCCAGTTGAGACGTGCTGCCTTGCAGACAGAAAAAGTGAGTTACAGCAAGAGTCCATGTGGTAGCTAAGAAGCCAGCATGGTAGATGTGAGTTGTGTTAGTCGGCTCGGGCTGCCATAACAGAGCACTACAGACTGGGAGTGGCTTAAACAGCAGACGTGTTTCTCACAATCCGAGAGGCAGAGAAGTCTGAGATCGGGTAGCAGCGGGGTTGGTGTGTCCTGAGGCCTCTCTTCTCCTTGTGTCTTCTTCACACGGTCTCCCCTCTGTGTGCGTCTGTGTCCTAATCTCGCCTCATAAGGACACCAGTCATATCGGAACAGGGTCCACCTTAATGAACTCATTTGAACCTTAAGTAGATCTTAACAGACCTTCTCTCCAGATACAGTCACATTCTGAGGTGCTGGGGGTTAGCAGTTCAACATGTGAATTTGGTGGTGGAGGTGGGGGGGGGGCACCATTCAGCCATAACAAGAGGTAATGCCCAGACCCCCCTCCATGACTGTTCTGTGTCACTAATCACCTTGCTGCGTTATTGTGTAGATTCAGCTCTGTTATTTAGACTTGGGCTCTCTCCAACGCTCACTCTCTTACTGCTAAAGGAAGAGTAATTCCATTGACCAGCAGAAGGAACTGAGCATGTGCGACTCAGCTTCCCACTTTCTCTCATTTGCATCTTCTTGTCAGGCAGAGAGAGGACTTGCTGGTCTCTCCTCTCTAGCCAGGGAGGCTCTGGCACCTCCGATTAGGGATTGATTCGTTTTCCCTACATTTAAAAATGATTCCACCTGAAACTAATATAAAATAATATTGAATGTCAACTATAATTTTATATATATATATATGAGGTCAGATTCCTAAGTCCACGAACGCATCCTAGGAAAAGTGCTACACACCTCATTGCTGAATATCACTACGGTCACCTTCAAAATACTCCCCTCTGGAATCTGTGCACCAACGCCAGCGCCTAGTCCACCCTCCAAAGCAATTTTGGAACTCTTTTTCTGGAATGGTCATCAGAGCTGTTGTCGTATTACCCTTGATGTCCTGAATGTCATAAAAATGTCTTCCTTTCAATATTTCCTGTATCTTTAGGTAAAGAAGGAAGTCATTGGGGGCCAGATCAGGTGTGTAGGGAGGATGTTCCAATAGGTATTTGTTTACTGGCTAAAAACTCCCTCACAGACGGTGCCGTGTGAGCTGGTGCATTGTCATGATGCAAGAGCCATGAATTGTTGGCGAGAAGTTCAGATCCTCTAACTTTTTCACGCAGCCTTTTCAGCACTTCCAAATAGTAAACTTGGTTAACTGTTTGTCCAGTGGTACAAATTCATAATGAATAACCCCTCTAATGTAAAAAAAAGTGAGTGACATCGTTGTAACAAGTTCACAAATTTAATTGTCCAACCTGATATACACATATAGTCACCGGATGTAAAGTACAGCATAGGATATACAGTCAATGGTATGGTAATAGCTATGTACAATGTCAAAGGGGTCGTAGACTTGGGAGGGGGTTATCACTTTGTGAGGGGTATAAATGTCTAATCATTATGTTGTTTTGTACACCTGAAACTAATAATAAATAAATAAATAAATAAATAAATAAATAAATAAATACTTCAACAGGGAACACCTTTAAATAGCGAGAGTCCCTAATGAACAGACTTTATTTAGAAAGGGCCCCCTCTGGAGGACTGGGCATGGAGGGCTTCCCCAGTACTCACTGAGGCAGAAGGCGAGCCAAAGTCAGTGCAGAAATGATGCACGAGTGTGGCTGTGGTCCAACTGGACGAGTCCAAAACAGGCAGGAGGGCTGGATTTGGCCCATGGGCCATAGCTTGCCAACGCCTGCCCTAGAACATTAAATACATTATTTGATTTGTGCAATTTCAGCTGACACTGGACTTGGTCAAGTGTCAGTAAAATAAGAGGCACATGGAGAAGTGACAATCCCTCTCCTGTCAAAGAAAGCCCACGCGTCTCCCTGTTGTCCTCAGCCATAATGTACACCAGAATATTTACAGCAACCACCATTCTAAAGGGCACTGGAAACTGCATTTCTGTTCCTTGTTTCCCGTCTCATTGTACTGACCATGTTGCCTCCAGCTCTGGTTTCTAATCTCTTTCCTCATTAAAAGTCCTGTCACCCTTTCCAAGAATAAAGTTGTTCCTTTAAAAACGCCCATCTCATAAAAGGCCTGAGCCCAGAAGGCATAAGATAAATAAGAATGGTTCATGAAATCCCCCTCCAAATAACAGACTTATGAGAAATAAACCTGAACTTTGATTTCAAATCACTCCAAACAAATCATCTTCAAACTTAAGGTGAGTGTCCTCGGAGTGTGTTTCGCAGCATCCCTGGGCAAGCCCTCCATGTTTCTATAGGTGCATTTTAAACACACCTCATCTCTTTCTTGTATTAAGGGCACAAATCATCAGCAAAGGTCAGGCCACATGAACGCATCCCATTTCAGTGGGAACATTAGCAGAGAGGTATGTGGAAAATCCGCTGATACTAAAAGTTAGCACCAACTGTCATAAATCGAGGTGCCTTACAGGAGTCTTGCTTATGTGCAAGAATGCTGGTGCAGCATGGTGACCAATAGGCAAAAATGGAAAACAGCCCGATGTTCATTAATAGAGGGGTGAATACACTATTTAGAGACACACGTGTGCACTATAATGCTGGGTTGTTTCTGAAAGGCATGTTGTAGATGGACGTGTACAACATGGAAAATATTCATGATGTGAGTTAAATGGAAAAAGCAAATAAATCATTATATATATATATATATGGAGAGATATCATATTTAAACAAAATTTTACATGTATTTGCATATACTTACTTATTCAATAAATATATATAAGTACATTTATGGATCTATCTTCTCTCAGCTATACCCAGTATCTCTAAATATATTTGTCAATACATAGCCAATGGATACTATTTATAGTAGCTTTGTCTGAGAGGAAAGTACATTTAAAGGGCTTGTGTGGGTCCAGGAGAGAGTTTTATCTTTCCACTCTACATATTCTTTTATGTTTGATTTTCTTGGAACATTTGTATTTCTAAAGAAAAACTAAGTGAAACCATCTACCCCAAGAGAAAAAACCACTGGAGATGCTTTTTAATAGCATCTGTATTGTTTTTAAAATTACAAAGGGTTTGTTGTTAAAAAACAAAACAAAACACGAAACAGTAAAGCATGAAGCCATCATTTTCCCTAACTCCCTTCAATCCCTCTCAGGACTCCAGGGATACCAGCTACGAACGGTTCAGTGCGTATCCTGAAGGACCCGTTTTTAATTAAATCGTGAAAAATGTTCCTTGGGAAAGACCAACTTCTTGAAGGTACAGACTGACTCAGTCCTAAGAAGTATGGTTCTGCAGGAGAGGCGGGAGCGGGTATAGGAACCACGTGTTCTGCATTCCCCACGTCAGGTCCAGAGACCTTGCATCTTCCATTATCACTGAAGACAACAGATCACTAGGCTGAGGGGTTTCCAAGGACTTGAGTCAACTGCGTCGTTTAGTGCCATTGACAGTGAAAAGATTACTAGGCGCCACCATGAGAAACCCAGGCATCGCTCATACTCCAAACCTTTGGATTATGGCTGACCATGTGTAGGTATGTTTTAGGCAAAGATAAGTGATGGGAAATGTGTTAACAGATCCACATACAGCTAATTTAGAACTGCAGAGTTGGCCTGAGACAGAGCTGGAAGCATTTCAGGCAGTGGAGTCTTACCCTGAAACTGTGCCAAGGGCAGGCCCATGACTGCTTGAGAAATACACGTATTTATTTCATGTTAAAAACAAAATGTCTGGGTGTGACTCCCGGGGTTAATTTAGCAATGGTCACTGAGCCAGTGTGCCAGTAGACAGATATGGCTAAGGTACCATGAGCAACTCTAGAAGGAAGGTCAGTGGCAAGGAGATAAGGCAGGAAGGCGCGCGCACGCGCGCGCGCACACACACGTGTGCGCACAATCACACATTTCCTCAATGGTTGGTCCTCTCACCAGAGCTAAATGAAGCCAGTTTGGAAAACAGTTTGATAATAACTGACTTCCTTTTCTGAAAGAGTTTACTTCTCAGGCCTGCCTAGGCAGATTGAAAATAACATCTACTATTTTAAAAATCTCTTCACTTTGCCCTTTCTGATAGTGTTTATGCCAAGAGTATCTTATTCTGAGTCTAACTCTTAGCGCAAACTTAATTTTGATCAAGGATGGGATTGTAGCATTTTCAATCTTTGTAGGAAGCGAAGGTAACATATTGTTTGTCAGCAGTTTCATATGTCCAGCTAAATAACTAAGGGAGAAAATCCATTAGCTCCCTCACAATATTATTTTCCACTTTCTATACTCCTGATCATAGCCCATTTTCACTCATAATTTTTTAGGTATCAGTACTATGGGATTTAAGAAATGTACGTTTTCACAAATGCTCTATTGCTGTATGCGTCAGGACTTTTTTGTTATTGTTTCAAATAAAACATCGAGTCAAACTGACTTAAGCAAAAAAGGAATGTTTCGTTCAGTTACATGAAAAATGTAAGGATAATTCTGGATTTGGGCAGAGCTAGCTTCAGGGGCTCGGCTACTGCTATTTGCATTCTACACTGGCCATATCCCCAGGGAAGTCTCAACATCCTCAGTTACCAACACTCAGTAATTGTTCTAAGGATGAATTTCATTGGCTGGACTTGGGTTACATGCTCACCTCTCAGCCAACGCCTATAGCTGGGAGATGGAGCTTTGCAATAGGCCAGGATTAGGCTCCATGCCCAACTGTAGAGCTAGACAAGGAGTAAGCCCCCTGCAAGTGTCAGGGGCAGGGGGTGAGAGAGAGGTGGCTCCCTAAGGAAAATAATTATATAACCAGAGGAAGAAGAAATGCTGGAAAGGTGAAAACAATGGTTACTTCGTAAAAAGTCCTCATCATAAGAAGAATTGACGTATACTCCCCGAAGTCCATAACCCAAGTGCTTGGTGAAGACCATCACTGGTGTGAGTTCTAGCTGTGAATTCTGCTGAAACACCAACAGGACATGCAGAAGAGGCTCCAAAGCTGTGCTGTCCAAGGCAATCACTTGTACTCACAGGCAGATATTTAAATTTTAAGTAATCAACATTAGATAAAATTGAAACTTCAGTTTCTTGGTAGCACTAACTTGACTTAAAGCTCAGCAGCTGCATGTCACCTTATTGGACAGTGAAGATATGAACCATCTCTGTCATTGCAGAAAATTCTACTGGACGTTGCTATTCTAGAGCCTTTTCTCCCAGCCCCACACCCCAAATTAAAAGACGGAGAAGGCCATTTGACTGGGCTAGGAAGGGCCAAGAGACCTTTCAAAGGTCCTGCAGGCTACAAAGGCTATGGTAACAGTTATGGCAAAAACAGACAACAACAACAACAAAAAAATGCTCAAGTGGGAAAAGTGATGCCTTTCCCTGAACATAAAAAATAAATAAATCAGAAAGGAAGAATTCTTTCTTTTCTTTGTCAGAAAGAGACAAAGAGCATAAATCAAAGGAAAAACAGTGATGGGATAACTAAATCAAATGCTAGTTGCATTGAAAGGCTCCCATGTCTCTTCCCTGCCTGCCCCATCCAAAACTTTGCAATAATAAGGGATAAGCAGTACTTGCTCAATATTTTATTTCCAATGGTCGGTGGAATGAATTTCGTTGTGTGCAAAGTTGAGTCGAAGTGTATGTGATGTTTGGAACAAAATCCAAACTCTTGACATACACTCTGGTCTCAGCTTGTCCCTCCAACATTCAGACTTTCATCCCCACTCTGCATATTTCAGGGCCACAGGCTTCCTTCAGATCGTCAATGTCTTTTAACTTGTTGTTCCATCAGCCTAGAACATACCTCCTGAACTCCTTCTCATGCTACAGGTCTTTGCTTACACTTCCTATCACCAGAAAAATGGTCTGATCACCTTTGACACACACATTATTCTTTATCACAACATCCTACTTATTTATTCATAATACTTAAATCTCTGCATTATTTTGTTTACTCCTTTTTTCCCCTGCCATAGCCAAGTAGAATGTAAGTTCCGTGGGGGGCAGGCATCATGTCTGTCTTATTTCCTGTCGTTGCTGTAGTAGTGAGAGGACAGTCAATAAGTTTTATGGGATGAATGAAAGAATGGACAGAGGAGGCAAATTGGAGTAAAGGCTGAGGTTTTGCACTCAGCAAGGCGGCCCGCCTTACCGGTCAGTGGCTGACCTAAAAAATGGGCCACCAGGTGTTGCCTGGTGCCATTACCATTAGGAAACAGGGCTCAGGTATGTTAAGTGTTTCCTCTAGGTTAGGCCGTTTCCAAAATTGCCATGCTTGGCCACTGTGCATACACAGCCAGGACAAAATGAGGTGATCTCGGATGCTCTGGTGTCTTGCTTTATTCGTACTCTAGCTCCTGTCATAAAAGTGAGATGATGGGTTAAGATGCTCACATGGCAGATTTTTAGGGCTCCCAGAATTTAGGGTGACTAGAGAATTGCCACCTTTCCCTCTCCCAATGAAAATCCTGGGAAGCAGGAAAAGCGCACATATATTACAGATCACATTATGAGTGATTAATAAGGTCAACCAAGTCCAGTTTATCATCCTTCCCAGCATCCTGACAGCATTTACATCCTGCTACCTCATTCTCCCAATGGCCACTGTACAGAAACTTGCAGATTCATCTCCGTTCAGTGCTCATTAATATTTGGGACCACAGAATATAGCCACACACTTAGCACAGGTTCTTGAACACAGCAGGTGCTCAAACATACAAATTAAATACATGAATTTCAGAAGGTCTCTTTAAAATGTAGCAAAAGATAA